TTCTAAAAGGAATCGCCGAGCATGTTTACCATTTCCTCCTTGCGAAACACACCTTGACATCTGTCACCGTTGTCATTCGTCATTGCCGCAATTTTGAGCAACTAAAGACGAGGCGCATCATGCCAAAGTTCGGCAGGCTGCCCAATGTGACGACCATCGCGAGTATAGACAGCAACCAGGCGCTTGATCTTGCAACAACAATCCGGCAGATCGTACGTGAAGAACTCGGCCTGTACGCGCATGTGGCAAACCGCCAAAGCACTCATCCTCCCTATCAGCCACCAGAGTTCGAGCGAAACGTTGCTTCATTCTCCTCGCACCGAGTGGCGGAGGGCTTTGAGGATTCTGATGCCAGACCTCAGTATCAGCCACGTCTATACGATAGAAGTCCTGCCTATGACGCACGATCACGACGAGCACAGCCACCTTCTTATACTCACGGTTCTCAGCCGGACTACGTCCCGCTGCGGCAAGGACAGTACCAACCCTACTACCAAGATGTAACTTACGACGAATAAAATGAATTCCAGAGAGTGGCAGAATCCCGTTCTTCGCGTGATAACGAACTTCCTCGCTGACAGGAGCGGCCCAGGATTCGTTCCATTGATTATAGTATAAACCGTGACCCTCTCGTGTGCTACAACTGTGGTTTCACTGGGCATATTGCTCGGTATTGCCGCCAACAACGCCGCCAATCACGAAGGACACCAGCCATGTCTTCGCCACCAAGACCCGGTGCTTCATATGACCTGCGGACAACCGACTTGTTTCCAAGCTACCGTTTTTTGCGCGAGACCAGTCGCAGTGATTCGCCAGCATTCGAGCCGAGTTTCACACCACCATCCAACCGTTCTCGTCGCTCGCCGTCTCCTCTGCGTCGTTCTTCTCCGCCGCCGGGAAACTAGCATTCGCGGCCAATAGAGGTGAGGTCGCCGGACGGTCTTTTCAAGATATACCTCTGCCTATTGTTATGATCAAAAACAAAGTGAATGTGTTTATTGATGGAATACCAATGATGGTGTTAGTTGACACTGGGGCGACTGTGTCTGTGATGTGCCTCGCCTTCAGAAACCGCTTAGGTTGCAAAGTTATGTTTTCATGGGACGATACAATCACCTTTCGTGGTGTAGGCGGCGAGTGACTTAATCCTCTTGGTGTATGTGCTGTGAGTGTTTCAATGGCTGCAAAAGTATTTTTATCGGAATGTCTGGTTCTTTCTCGTTGTTCGCATGATGTCATTCTTGGTATCGATTTTCTGGAGGATTGCGGGGCTTCCATTGACTGTGGTAGTGGGGAAATATCACTAAACAATTTATTTCTACCGTCACTTTCCGAAGACGACTATTGTGGCGAAGACAGGAACACACTTAGTGTGATTGAGGAAGTGATAGCACCATCTTGGTGCCTAACACCCGTTCGAGTCTCTTCCACAGCGGTTGATGATGCTTGTGTTGACCTCGTAGTGGGGCCTCTGCGCAAGAACTGTTTTAAGAAGGACATACTTGTGCCTTGTTCTGTTGTGTGCATGACGAAAGGAGTAGCAACATTGTGAGCGCTGAACTGTTTGCCACGCCGGTTGTGCTTCCTCGCGGGATGAAGATAGCTCTCTTTGATGAAGCCTCATGCAACTCGATAGCAGCCATAGCTACGGACCTCCCCACCTCTTCCTCTGCTTGTGATATTCGCCATAATGAAGATCTAATGCTCGCTATGATCAGCAAGACTCTCAGTACGACGGAACGGCAAGCGCTGGTGCAGGTCCTTTCCCGGCACGTTGCTGGTTTCGACTTCAAACATAGAGATGCACCCCTTCAGTTACCCTCGTCCTGCGCTCATCACAGAATAGACACTGGCTCTGCACACCCCATCCGCAAAAAGCCCTACCGAATGTCATCCTCTGAGCGCAAAGTTATCGCCGAACAAGTAAAGGACATGCTGAACAAAGGGGTCGTGCCAGAGTCGTCCAGCCCGTGAGCAGCCCTGGTAATTCTTGTCAGGAAAAAGGATGGTGCCTGGAGATTCTGTGTAGATTACAGGCATCTAAACACTGCGACGAAGAAAGATGTATATCCCTTACCACGGATTGATGAAGTCATAGATTGCTTGCATGCCGCTTCCTATTTTTCAACGCTTGATTTGTGGTCAGGTTATTGGCAAATACCTATGGAACCCGGCGACAAAGAAAAGACTGCTTTCATAACTCCGGATGGTTTATTTGTATTTAATGTCATGCCTTTTGGCCTTTGTAATGCTCCAGCCACCTTTGAAAGATTTATCGACACAGTATTACGTGGTCTAAAATGGGAGATATGCATGTGCTACCATGACCATGTTGTGATCTTTGGCCGTACGTTTGAGGAACTTAACAACCGTCTCAGTCTTGTTCTCGACTGCATCGAAAAAGCCGGGCTGGTACTGAATTCTGAAAAATGTCGCTTTGGCGAACGTCAAACTCTCGTGCTGGGGCACTTGGTCGACAAGGATGGCGTCAGACCCGATCCTCGCAAGATAGAAGCAGTGAGCTCTTTTAAATCACCGCAGTTCGCACGAGAACTTCGCTCATTTGTCGGCCTAGACTCATATTTTTGTCGTTTTGTTTCACGATTTGCGGAGATCGTGTATCCGCTGACAAACGTCTTGCGACAGGATGCAACCTTCAACTGGACACCAGAGTGTGACGCCGCATTCTCACAACTTAATTGTGTACTAACGTCAGCACCACTGTTGCGTCACTTCGATCTGTCTTGCCCGACTGAGGTCCACACGGACGCTAGTGGTATTGGTGTAGGCGCGGTGCTTGTGCAACGTCACAATGGTGCAGAGCGTGTCGTGACATATGCCAGCCGTCGCCTGAGCAAGTCAGAACGCAATTACACAGTTACGGAACCGGAATGTCTGGCAGCTGTTTTCGCTGAACAGAGGTTTCGTTGTTATCTTTATGGGAGGCCATTTAAAATAATTACTGATCACCATTCGTTATGCTGGCTGGTCGGTTTGCGTGACCCCTCTGGCCGCCTTGCACGTTGGGCGCTGCGACTTCAGGAATACGACTTTACGGTGTCGTACAGGAGTGGCCGTCGTCACGCTGACGCAGACTGCTCTCCCGGATTCCTCTTGCGACTACTGACTGCGATGCTGAGAATTTTGACGACTGCCTTGCTGCTGTTACAAGCACGTTCCCCAACGCGGCTGATTTCCAGAGAGAACAACGCAAAGATCTCACCTTGGATCCTCTTATTTCCGCCGCACGTGCCTCCCAACACCGTGGTCGCTTTACCGTCCTAGAGAAGTTGCTCTATAAAACTAACTACTCCAGACCTGGAGCACGTTTTCTTCTAGTTGTCCCCGAGAGCCTTCGCTCCGATGTTCTACGTGCCATGCATGACGATGCGACGTCCGGTCACTTCGGCTTCATTAGAACGCTGAACCACACGTAGGAACGCTTTTACTGGCCCAAGATGTACGAAACGACGAAGCGTTACGTCGCTCGCCACGAGACGTGCCAACGTCACAAGCGCCCGGCCACCGCTACACCAGGCCCCCTCAGCCGTTGACACCACCCAGCACACCTTTTGAACAAGTATGAATTTACATTATGAGTCCATTCCCGTTATCTAACAATAAGAAGCGTTGGATAATTGTCTGCGTAGATCATCTTGCGCGGTATGCCGAAACCGCAGCTATTCTCTCTTCTACCGCTGCATCCGTGGCGGACTTCTTGCTTCACTCCGTGGTCCTTCGCCATGGCCCACTGCGTGTTATTATCAGCGACCGTGGCTGCCAGTTCACTGCCGATGCCGTTGAAGAATTACTACGCATGTGCACGACACAGTTCCGTCATTCCACACCGTACCACCCACAGACAAATGACTTCGTTGAACAGACAAACAGAACGCTGACCAACATGCTTGCCACGTACGTTTCTTCTAATCACAATAACTGGGATGAAGTGCTGCCTTTTATCACGTACGCGTACAACACGGCAAAACATGAAAGAACGAACTTCAGCCCATTTTATCTGTTGTACGGAAGGTTGCCACTAAGCCCTCTAGACACTTTCTTACCCTTCATTCTACACAATGACGACCCTGTATCAAACACCCTGTGCCTCGCGGAAGAAGCCCGTCGAATCGCTCGTCTTCGTAGTCTGGCCTCTCAACGTCGTTCGAGGGAACGATACGACGACCGTCACGAACTGGTTTTATTCGAAAAAGGTGACTTGGTGTTACTTTGGACACCGCAACGCAAGTGTGGATTGTGTCAAAAGCTTCTGTCACGATATTCAGGTTTATTTGTAGTTTTGTAGCGTCTAAACCAGCTCACTTACGTAATAACTCGTCTTTTGTCCAATTATCGACGATCGAGCAGAACGCAGCTCACTCACGTTGCTCGCCTGAAGCCTTTCTACCCTCCTTGTGCATCATAACTCGCCCTACGGGCTTCGTCTGCTTGCGGGGGAATGTAACAGACTAGAAAAAGGTAGAGAAAAGAAGCAGAGGAAGACGAAGAGTCTTGGCACGATCGCAGTGTGCTGCCGCAAACGACCATCGTTCACCTCCTGTAAATAAAACCATCTCATCACATCTCGCTGTTGCAATATAATTCCTCCTCTTTTTCTCTTTCTCAATTTATTTCTCTTCTACTGTGCTCCTCTCTTACACATCAGGCTTACTACAGGCAACGGAGCGGTGGTAAGGAGTGGCATTTCCGCAAGTGCTATGACGAATACTTGTTTATGACAATGACATTCGCCGGGTCGACACTTTACAGCCAGCTGAGACAGTTTCGCTATGAAAAGTTCTTTCATATGCTTCTATTGTGTACCTTGGTTGAGCCGAAACTTTAGCCAATCCTTTGAGTTACGTAGCTTGTAATTCCCTTTTGGGTAATCACACTTAAATGTGTCTTGATAATTTGCACTGGCCATCATATGTACTTTGCCTGCAACAAAAGCGAGCTCATTATTTCAACTCCCTAACAGCTGTATACTGTGATTTCAGGATGCCATGACGTACAACAAGATGAATGTTCTGCACTGGCACATCACAGATGACCAGTCTTTTCCATTCGTGAGCAGAACGTTTCCGTCCTTGAGTGAAAAGGTAAGGTATGACGCCTTGTAGATATGTGAGCGTGATTCTATTGCAGTTTCTTAAGTATTCGCAATTGTATTCTCAATTGAGCACTATTATCGCTCTTGATTCATGGTGGCGAATCAGGTGCTTGCAAAAACCGCTATTGTTGTTTGCCTTGGTGAAAGTTTGGGCAGCCATAGTAACCTTCATACAGATGTTACTTTCGAATTAAATATGGTGCCCGTCCACTACAGATGCGGTTAACGGCAGGTCCTATGTTTCCCGCGCTTCGAACGTACTTTGTTAGAAAGGCAAAACTTGCCCGACTTCTATTGAAACGTATGTGTCATGAACCATACCTACTATTCTTTAGCGTTACTACGAGACTTATATTCGCTTAACATTGTGCTCAAGCCTACTAGCACATACCAGAACCCCCCTTGTTGCGTTCATGCGCAACCTCTATATTTAGTATACAGATGCGTGAGTTAAGGAAGGAGAGACAGTCAAGAAGTCCACACTCAAGCACCTTAACGGGAAGTTATTGACGTTTTTCATGTCAGCCGTGTATTTTATAAGAACATTCTTACTAGATTGACACCACTAATATCTCGTATTTAGGAACACAAACTAAAAAGAAGTATTGTCGAGAATTGATTAGTGAATTATCGGCGTCAACAAGCATCGACAACAGTTTTGAGAAAGCTCATCATAATTTAGATGACTGAGTCAACCTAATTGGGCTAGCTCTGTCTCAAGTCAAGCCGTGAGTCTTAGTTTAAGTGAGTTTGACTTCGTAATGAGTCAATGTCTTTGAGTCTGAGTGCGTCCAAGTGAGAAAAAGTGTAATTAGTCTCAGACAGAGTTATCCCTCAGAGTCACAGGTGATAGATATGTGGGGTTTAACGTCCCAAAACTACCATATGATTATGGGAAATGGCGTAGTGGAGGGCTCCGGAAATTCGGAAAACCTAGGGTTCTTTAACGTGCAACTAAGCATGAGCACATGGGCCCGGAGCATGTTGCCTCTATTGAAAACGCGGCCGCCGCACCCGGAATTCGATCCTGTGGCCTGCGGGTCAGCAGCCGAGTACCTCAGTCACTAGGCAACCGCGGCAATGCGATCCCTCAAAGTCAGGGCAAAATATATTTCTTAAAGGGACACTACAGGCAAATAAACATTCATGTCATAGTGAAATATTAGTGTATGACAACATCTAAAACGGCAATAGTATCAGTACCAGTGCCGTACTTATCGAGGAGTGAAGCTAAATGTATCGCATGACGTGTGCCACGAGTGCTACATTTAAACCGGGATATTGTAAGAGAGCTCGTGTCGCCGAAATTCTATCGTCGGCGTAGGCACCGTTGTTTGTGAAAAATACTGAAATCTTATCAGTAGTTGCACCGTACTTACGAAGTAGTTCAGCTAAATCTATCGCACGACGTGTTCCACGAGTGGTACTATTTTAATGCGATAGCGTTAGAGAGCTGGTGTAGCAGAAATTCCGCTGTTGACGTAGGCACCATTGGTTTTGAGCGAAAAATTGTCCGTGAGCGAAAAATTGGAAAAGCACATAAAATAAAGAATAAATGCTTGAGTACTGCTAAATATTGAACCCGGTCAATCACGTGGAAAACAGGTGTCCTACCACAAATTCATGATGCTACTTGCAGCTGCTTCATGAAAAAACACTACATAAATGCCATGTAGTGAAAGGAGCCTCCTCAACGCATTCTGTTCGACAGGTGCCATGACGAGGACGTGCCCATTCGGCGATTTGTATGCATAATTCGCATGCCACCAAACTACGTCGAAAAAGGCCTAGAGAGTGCAGCCATCACCGCTAAAAGCACCCAGAAATTTCAAACAGCTCTAAATATGGACACCTATATCCATCAAGCAGAAAACATACGTCTTTCCAGAGGCCTTGATCAAGCAAACAGTGAGCCATAGATAATGTGCTTGCCATCTGTGAGGCATCGTGAGACTCCCTATCACCTCCGAGATGGCGAGCACGTAGCGTATATCATGGATGCTATGTGACTCTTGCTTTAGATCAATACCTGCATGTACCATTCGCGCGCCCATGCGTGTGTGTGCGTGTCTGTGTGCCGTCTGTGAGACAATGCGAAAGACGTGTCTCGACTACAGCAGAGCGCCATTCTAGCGGAGGGAAGTGTCCAAACTGCACAGTCACTGCAATATTATAAAAACGTCGCGCGCGCGCACGTGTGTGTGTGTCAAAAATTATATTACTAAGTATGCACTTATTGAATGAAGGGCGCACTAGAGACCAGATTTCGCTATCGCGTTCAGCTTTTAAAGGCGAAGCTCAAGGGTCTACCGATTTTCGAAATCTTCCTGATGTCGTGAGGGCGTCTGAATACAATTATTCGGTAAAAACGAAACTATCTGCAGAGAATAAGTCCCTTTCGTGCATAATTATTTACGTATTAAAGTGCTGCTTGTTTGTTTTTGTTTATTTTATAGAAATCAGAACCACCTACGTTGCTATAGGGAATAACGTGAGTGGTTCAAAAGTTTTGTCCTCGCCTGTTTAAGGCAGAATCATCTAGTGGGGCCCTGTTGAACCAAGGAAGTAAAAAACTGTTCAGTGGATATGGTTGCTGCTGTGGCTCACGCTAGTAGAGTCGGCTGCCATGCAGTAAAAGTGGGCAACGCTGGGCACAGCAGTAGTGACGTGAGAAAGATTGTTTTCAAGCGGGTTGTTTGGAGTGAAACAACGTGACGCGGACCGTTAAAGCGTAAACTTATCTATACTTGGGACTTTATTTGCAAAAGAAGGAGCTTTATAAGGTTTCTCGACAGCTATTTCAACAATCAACGTTGACTTCCTATTTGCTTTTAGTATCCCTTTAAAAGAATAGGCATGAGTGTTCCTTTCTTCCGACACTTTTATTTGATTTAAAAATCTTAAAGGTCTCAATAAAGGCATTGGGTGGAGGACATCACAAAAAAAAGCAAGTTATCACACATAGTGAATACGCATCATCATGAAGTATGAAATGGAATAAATTATGCAAATAGCTTTACAGCATATTCAAATAATGCGTGATGATGAAAAATGAAGCAAAAGGGTAGATTAACGCATGTACTGTTGAAACCAATTAGAAAGAACATGAACCAACACATTTGGTTATACGCACAGGCAATTCAAAGAAAAAACATGGAGTGCAAGGATTGAGCGAAAAAAAAAATAAACTCTTATACCGGAAGTAATTAAACATACATTATTAGAGAAAGAATAGTACATTTTTGCAGGCTTATGCAGAATATTGCGAAATGATGAGTAGACAAAATTTATCAAAATTTTTTTCAGATTCCATTAAATCCGGAAGTGCATTCCACAATCCATTAGCACAAGGTAGCACATATAGCTGTCATTGACCAGTGGAAATTTTTCTGGCCTGATATGCCCTAGTGACTCCAGCATGTCCAGAGCAGGTAGCCTGTTGCATATTGTATGCATAAGAAATTATGCTGCAAGTACTGAGAGCTCGCAACACACAATAAATGTATAATTAGGAACGCGGGAATTTATGTTACAAAGCGCCAAACTATAATATAAAACTGAGTATCAGCCGAGAAGTTTGTATTTAACAGCGGACTAACATCAGGCAAAACTCGTACGTTTTCTCGGCACACGTAAATCCTTATCCGCTAAAATATCAATGCCTTTTTACTCTTTCTGAACCTTTTTGTTTCGCTATCTTGAGCATTGCTGTGATTTGTATCGATTTTCTACTACCCTGACACTCTTAAAAAAGAAAAGACCAACTTAGCATGACAGAGGGCTGAGCTCGCTCTCAAGTATCGCTACAATCTAGGCGTGCAAACACCAATGCAAGAAAAAGTCGACACACCTTAAACGCTGAATAACAACTGCGAAGTCGGAAACGGGCGAAAATAATAAGGCAGAAAAACTTATGTGCGGATGCACAGGGAACAGGTGAACCTACACTCTTAAAAATTGTAGTCACGTTCTCTACATTTAGGGACAAACAGTAATGTCCGCAATGATCGTCTTTAAATAAAGAAACGTTGCTCCTTTTGCCACACAGAAACATGTTTCTTCCTACGAGAATCAAGACTGCTGACCCCAGGTTAGCGAAGTGAGTAGGCTTAGGAAATGCATCGATTCTCGACGTATAAGGAGTACACGGCACTGAAAGTTACAAACAATGGTCCCACTGAGCATGATATAGAACAAAATGATTATAAAAACAAGCAGATGAACCTGTAGCGATGAAAACATCGCGAAAGAGAACGACGGAGCAAGTGGGTTTCGTTCAGCCAGTGAGGTGATGTTCACTCTGAAAGACACAGATACACTACAGTCCTCACCCGAAAAGTGCATGCCAGGCTTGCTGTGTTTATTTCTCGCAGATACTCTTAATGTAGTGATGTTATCCATGCGTTTACGGGGCCATAGGTCATGAGATGTGCCTCCAAACCGGAGACTTTATCGCAGCGAAACCATTCCGACTCAGTAGTGCAGTTTTGATAGATAGTTGTTCAACGTTATATAAGTAGCTGGAGGTGTGATAACGTCACAGCCATAGAGTTTCATACAATAATACGTAGAGGGTAATCTGGCACTAATGTATCAGTGGGCTTCTTCAGCGGCTCTTGTATTCCCATGGGAACTATGGGAAGTACATACTTCGGATCCGCTTCGGATGGGTTCCATTCTTGAGATTCGCGAGGCTTCTTTTCCGAGTGTAAAACACAATGACATGAACAAAATTTCATTAAATCTTGCTTCAAATATTTGCACTCAAACTTTATTGTAAAACGTTTTCGTGACCAGGCGGCAAAAGTGGAACCTATGTGAATTGAACTATCAAACTGTGCATCACTCTACCATTGCCCTATAGATATTGCGTAAATATTTATTAAATTATTTTTTACAACACTTCAAAACCAACGTGCTTGTTTTCCTCTCAAAAGTATGCTTATCTATTTAAGAAAACAACAGTACAGTAATAAGTGAGAAACACTT